TTTTTACTTTTATCCTTTCTGTTGGCCTGTATTCTTTCTCTAAGGTTTCATTTTGTATATTTCACTTCAGGTTGCAAAATCTCTAACATTTTCCATGGTGTAAGTCTCACAGAAGAGTCTTCACACTCAGATGAGAAATCAAGGCCCCCGGGCATCTGTCAGACTAGATGTCTGTGACTAGAGTTACAGACATGCTCTCAGGGGTGTGGTCAGTGAGAGAAGTGGGGCTGAAGAGAGCACTGTGAGCTGAGCAGGAATCTGGTCTGGAGTCTAACATTAGCTGAAGGTCTTTATTTGACATTATTTCCTGTAAATGAAAAATATTATCTTAGTATACAGTGTTCTGCACATTTTTATCTCTCTAACTTTGTTCTTTGACAATTTCATACGTGTGTATTCTAATACATTCTAGTTATTCTGGCCCTGGTCTCTCCCACCCCTGCCTATCCCTGTCCGTCTCCCTCCTCTCTACAAACCCCATCTGCTCATTCATGTCTTACTTTGACACATTAAACATTTTATTTCTTTGTTGTTTCTAGTTTTCCTAGGAGAAGCCATGCATTGAACTTACAGAGATGATCTTAATGTTTTTTTAAATAAAATATTAATATGGCAGCTCACATGCTTGAGTGGGTGATGTTGAACCGACCTTGGATTCTGAGAACAAGCCCTACTTGGTTGAGGCACCCAGGCGCCTCAGATGACGTCAGGACCCTGATCTCTTCTACTCATTTGCAGAAGGCTCAGCAGGTAAAAGCATTTGCTGCCTAAACCTGGCCATCGAGTTCAATTACAGAATTCCACAGTGGGGCTGGAACTGACTCTGAAAATTGTCCTTTGTCCTCCACACACACACAACAATAACAGCAGAAATTAATGAAGAAGAGTGTGTAGAGAGTTGTTGCCCGTTTTTCTAGAAGACTTTTCAGCTCTAGCTGCACTTAAGCCCTATTATTCTTGCATCTAATGCATCTACTAAATTATTCATCTTCTAAATGTATCTACTACACCCCTATTATTCTTGCATCGTGTGCATATAGTAAACGGTCTAAATTCTGGATAAAATGGGATTTGAAGAAAAGCATGTCTGCCTTGAGGGGGTGCCCCCTGTGCAGGATGCACAAGGGAGGGAGGGGACAACCAGAAGGGAGGGCTGTTGTCCCTTTGGCCTCCTCTTTACCTTGCTTCCTTCCTTGCTCTGGTTAAACTCCCAGCTGCTTCCACTGCTGCTGTGTCCCATGTGGATTCTTCAGGACAGAACTGAGCTGCGGCTGAAGTGGGAATCCCAGGAAACGGGAGTCTTGTATGGTAAGGGCTGTGAGAACAGCAGACACTGACAGCACCTGGCTCTCAAAAATCAGTGGCCCAGCTGGTGACGACTCCAGCACCCAGAAACATCTCCAGAGTTTTCTCGCTGCTTATGATAGATTTTCTGATGAGGGGAATAAAAACAAACAAGCAAAACAAAACAATCCTTTTCTTCTTTCTCTTTCTCTCTCTCTTTTTAAACAAATGTGTTAAGCTCAACAGAGCCAAGATTTGATGTTCTTAGAAAACTCACACCCAGAGAGGAGTGGAGAAAAATATATATATCAGTAGAAACAATTTTTTAAAAAAAGGAAAAATAAAAATTATGTTAAGTTTGAGAGACAGACTCTAAAACTCTAAAAGTGTTCCAAGGAGAAAGCCAGGAGTATGAATATGAATCTTTTACCAAAATCTCAGAAAGACCAGACAGTCAGAGTATGCAGCCACAGAAGGGCCACTTCAGGTAACGAAGGGTGTGCCACATGGGCCCTCTCCACCAAACCACAGGGCCGGGGAAAGTTAAATACGCCGCTCCCAGTTGTGTGAACAGAAGCCCAAAACATGGAAGGGCTTCTTTGTGGCAAAAAAAAAAATAAAAAGTTTTGTCTAATGAAGTGACCCCTAAGGAAATTTACTCCAAGGCCCACATCTTTCTTGGGAAAGATTTTCCAAAGAAATAATGCCAACTTGATCAAAAGGGAACAGATAGAAGACAAAAATGAGAAAAGCCATTCCAGTTGGTAAAATCATTCAGCTCCAAACATTTGCTAACTCTCATCATAAGAAACAAAGAGTGTTACAGATGGTTGGAAGAAGATTCTAGAAGCAGATTCCAGAACCATAGAACTGTTTCCAGTGTTTAAAACTAATCAAGGAGTTGGAGCTTGCAAAGTTTCCCTAGCTAGATTTTATCAGTATGGACCAAGCACTATGGGCCTCCATGATGAAAGTTGGGGACCCATTCATCCTAGTCTCAATGAGACAGGTATTGGAACTGTTGGGTTGTTGTGGGTTCTTTCTTTCTTTCTTTCTTTCTTTCTTTCTTTCTTTCTTTCTTTCTTTCTTTCTTTCTTTCTTTCTTTCTTTCTTTCTTTTGAGACAGGGTTTCTCTGTGTAACAGCCCTAGCTGTTCTGAAACTAGCTTTGTAGACCAGGCTGGTCTCAAACTCACAGAACTCTGCCTGCCTCTGCCTCCCGAGTGCTGGGATTAAAAGAGTGTGCCACCACCGCCCAGCTAGTAATTGCTGTTTAATGCCTCATACCTGATTGTATGTTTGTGGACCATAATGTGTAACCTTTACAGATAAACCAGTTAAGAGGAACTCCATTCAAAGACCGCGTTTTCCTTTTGTATGAATTCTACTTCCACTCCACTGTGGGGTTTTTGGAGAGCAAGGAGGGGTTGAGAAGGTTTCATGTGGCCCAGGCTGGCCTTGAATTTGCTATGAAGGAGAGAATGATCTTGAACTTCTGAAGTTCTGATCTCCTCACCCAGCCCACAGAGTACTGGGGTTACTGGCATGAACCCTCACGACGTATTGTTACTGAAATCCATGACCACTCTTACTGCTGCTTTCCACGGATGATTCCCTCCCTCCTTTTATCTGACTGTTTTTCAAACTTTTTATTTCTATGCAATTCTATTCTTTTTGGTTTTATGTAACTTAGTTATAGTGTGTTTTTTGGTTTCTTTCTTTTCTCCTTCTCCTCCTACTTCTTCTCTTAATGATTTGAGATTGTTGAGTGACTTGTGTCTGTGAATTTGTAATTTCTATCCAATTTAAAAAATTCTTCAGTATCATTTTTTTGAAAGTTTCTTCTGTCCCTCTTCTCCTTCATCTCATGGAACTCAATCACAAGGCCTTCTGCCGTGTTTCTCAGCTTTTCCACCCCCTGATGCCCTGTTCATTTTTTAGATTGTTCTTTCTCTTTGAGTTTCATTTGAAATAATTGCATTGCATACTCCTGTGTGACTTTTACCAGGGGTGCCTGACCAAATGTCTATTCACCCTAGGTAGGTCACTGATGACAGACCAAAGACAGTTCCCTTTAAGCATAGGTTAGTGAAGTCGTAATTTAGTTGGTGTTATTTATAGGAGCATGGTTGAGGGGTTCTTGTAGGAGCATATTCAATTCAATGACAGCTCTGTCACCAAAAATGTATGACCCCTACTGGGATCCCTGTGCAGGTGCAGTCAATGGTTGGTTCAAATACCCTTTCCCCATAAACTCTTATTGCTTATATAACCTGGGCCAGGGGCCTTGTGGATACTGTAGTTGTCAGGAACTTTCTGAACCTCCTGAGTCTCAGTCACTTCTTGGACCTTGTATATTTCATGTAGTTCTGGAGTCTTATGAGCCGCCCTCATCCTCCATTTCAGGCAGGAATGTTTCAGCTCACACGCAACAGATAGAGAGAGCTCTCAAGTCTGCCTATCTGCATCTAATCTGATATCCAGAGCACATGTACTTTCACACACTGCGGTTTTCAGTTCTAGAAGTATAACTCGGGTTTTTCTTAAAAATATGCCTTCCTCCATGCCATTTTAAGCTATAGAATAGTGTTGATATGTTGTGCTGCTAATTAATTAAGAATATTTGGATTTGTCACTTTTGTTTGCTTTACCTCTGTGCTATATGATATATTTTTCTACTGTTGTTTACACCAGATATTTACAACATTTTTAAAGATTTATTTTTATTTTTTAGTTTTTTGTATGTATATGTGTTGAAGGGCCATGCATATACATGCACATGCAGTTGCTCATGGAGGCCAGAAGAGGGCATTGGCTCCTCTGCAGTAGAATACAGGTCTTGGTGAGCGTCCATATGGGAGCTGGGAACCAAATTCTGATACATGCCCTTGACCATAAGACCATTTCTCCAGTCCATGCCAGGTAATTTTTACTTCATGCATTATAACTGTTATCTTATTGCCCCCTATATTTCTATATTTTTATACGACTTTTAACCTTAACTCTTTGCAGTACTTTTACATTGATTTTGAAAACATTTTGAGCTTTCTGGATTTATTAATTTTATTATTTGTGACTGACTATACTTAACTATTTCCCACCACTGATAAGATTCTTCTATGTTGCTAAGGACTCATTCAAACCCTCTTTTCCATTTGTTTTGTTTGTTTTCATAGAGAGACCTGCATTAAAAGGGGAAGAAAAGCTAAAGTGGTTTCTTTCAGACTCAGACAGCAAACAGCAGCAGGTACAAATTTTGGTCAAATATGCAGTATTCTGCATGTCTGTGTGCCTGCATCTCTCACTGTAGATGGCTGTGAGGCACAGTGTGGTTTCTGGGACTTGAACTCAGAATCTCTTGAAGAGAAGGCAGCGCTCTTAACCTCTGAGCCATTTCTCCAGCTGCAGGTGCAGATTTAAAGAGTAGAAAGAGGGGAGGTCTGTGTTAGGATGCAGCGGTAAAAGAGATAGGGGCTGGGGGAGGGAAGGGGAACGGGACAAGGGAAGAGGAAAAGAGATATTTGTCCCAGAGGGTCAAGGACTGCTTCTGGACAGAGGAAGGCAGATGTGGCTCGTAAGCAAACGGAAGCTTATAATAGTATAGGGGGAACCCTGTGTTAGGGTGAGCTGTTTCATTTTAATTGGGCATATTAATTATATCAGAATATATCAGAAGCCAAAAGGAGCTTCTGATTGCTGAACTTTGGTAGTCAGCCTCAGGAGGAGGAAGGTTTCGTGAATTTGCATGCCGTCCCTCCACAGGGGCCGTCCTAATCCTCTTTGTATCGTTCGATTTTACTATAGGTGCTGCCAAAGAGAGCAACCATCTTCTCCATTCTGCGTGTTGAAGGCCTAGTTTCCTTCTCTGACTGACACCGAATTGGAGGCATTTTAAGGCATTTTAAAGGAGTAATTAAGGTTCAGTGGGGTTCATGAGTCAACAGTTCTGATACAGTAAGATTGGTATTCTTAGAAAAGAGGAAAAGATGCCAAGATGTCTCTGTGCCATCTGCGGACACATTGAGGAGTCTACCCCAGGAGGAGACCCCCTCATCAGAAGTCTTCACGTTTACCTGCGAGTTGCTTGTGTGATCCATTATATGGAATTCTGTCATGAGAGGTTCCTCTAAGTAGTACTCAGGCGATTTGTAAGGTTGTCGTCTCTAGATGGGGGAAGCACCGTTTTCCACTGTGTCTGAACAGGGATTGTGACTCTAATCTGTGGGTGCATGGAGTGACTCCAGGCCATCCTGGTTGACACAGAGAGCTAACTACCTCTGCCTCCCAGTGCGTCAGAGTAGAGGAACATGGCACCATATCCAGCTGGCTTTTTTTCTTCTTTTTCCCCCTTTTTTCTTTTGTTTTGTTGTGTCTTTAAAAGCATATACCTACCAGTTTTTGCATTTTACTTGTTAGAATATTGTGGCAATAAGAATTTATGGAAAGTCAAGCTTGCAGTAACAGGAAAACACTCTTGAATAATGACTTTTTATATTCTTCAAAGCAGGACTTCCAAACTCGTTCCTGCATAATTTGCAATTCTGTGGGTCAATGAGAATGTGCTGTGGTTAAGGCAGACAAACACCCTCACAGTGTCCTCACAGAGGCAGTGAGCAAAGAAGAGATGTGGTTTTCTTTCTTAAAGGTGTATGTTGGCACATCTGTGACTGCCTCTGACTTGCTGAATGATAACAGGGCCTCTTGTACATCGCTGTAGAGCGAATGCTTTTTCTTGGATTTAGTTTGGTCTCTGTGTACTGCTGACCATTTTGATCTTCTTCAAAACAGTTTGAAAGAAAACAAGTCACTAAGAATCGCAGTTGCTCAGCAGTATTGACAAAGCTGATTTCATGACTTCATGTGCTGAACACCTCTATAGATCAGGCACTGTTCTAAGGCACTCATTCCGGGAGCTCATTGCATTGCTTGGTTTGACCGGTCAGCTTGGTACAGCCGAGAATCACCTGGGAACAGAACCTAAAGGAAGAACATCCATCTCAGGTTAGCCCGCAAACCATCACAGTCCATAGGGTGGCTGTAAACCAGTCGCACTGGATGGGATACTGCCGTACAAGTGGTGGCTGATGAACAGTAAAGCAGACGCTGTTTCCTGAAATTGCTTCTGGGGAGATTTGCTCTCTTTTTAGGGGACGGCCCAGTAGTGATGGCATTGATTGATGTAGGAAGTTACAGCCCACTGTGACAGCTGGGAGGGTCCTAACTGTATGAAGACAGAGGACTTGCTGAGCAAGGAGCAAGCTGGCAACATGTATCTGTTCCTCTCTGCTTTTGACTGTGGATACAATGTGACTTCTGCTTGTGTTCCTGCCTTGGCTTCTTCGGATAGACTGTGACCTGGAATTTTAAGGCAAATAAGCCCCTTTCTTCTTCTATGTTGCTTTTTTGTTAGGATTTTTTTTTTATCATGAAACAGAAATGAAACTAGGTGACTCTTTTAACTTCGTTACGTCTCTGGCTACACATCCATTCCCCCCAAAGGAAGCTGCAGGCATCCGAGGAGTCAGTGATCCTCTGTTTTCTCGGAGGCCAGCGTTCCTGCCATTGTCGTGTCACCGTGTAGCCCCGGCGGGTCTGGAAGTCACGGAGATCCACACGTCTGTGCCTCCCCGACACCGGGATCAAAGACGTGTACCGTGACTGCTTCAATTTTTAAATTCACTGATGGTATCCAGGTGGCTTCCTTTAGGTGGCGCAGACTCTGTGCCAGCTTTCTGCAAGCCACCAGCTTCACTCTTGAGCTCATTACTACTGGGAGGACTCCACAAGCTCTGGGAACTGTGGCTTCAGGACACTAGGCCAAGAAGGGCCTAGTCAGGGGCAGGGAGAGCACAAAACGACGTGTGGTGATCAGAGCGATTGTCGTCATGACTGAAGGACGCCAGCCCTGCTCTTGTGCCTTTGGATACAGCAAGAACCAAACACAAGTGCAAGGATCAGCGGGCTCTCCAGACAATGCCACTGGACTTTGTTACTGGCGAAACGCCACAGATCCTGTCTTCTTGCCGCATGTGAAGTCCCTGTCTTTGGAGAGAGTAAGTGAACAGCAGTCTCAGGCTGTAGACCGAGCCACCTCCCTAATCCCTGGCAAGAGTAACCCTAGCTAAGCTGGTGCCCTAGCTACTGAATAAAGGCTGAGAACATCACTGTGCTGTAGAGGCCCAACCCAGCCACAGGGCAGAGGAAGTCCCAGGAACACCCTGTCCCTGGCCTTCTCCTGCCATCTCCCAGGGGGTTTGCCTTTGATCTCATCACAAAGAACTCGGGGCATTATAAACCATTTATCCTCTAATGACAAGAAGACAGACAAAAGTAATTAGAGATGAACATCAAATGGCTCTGCCCAGCTCCCTAGCAAAACCCGAAGAGGCCAGGGTGAGTCAGCCAGCTCCAGAAATAAGAGTTGACTTCAGGCACATAGGATGCCAATCTGTTAGACTCAAGGTCCTTTATTTGGAGGACAATACCTCAGTGAAGGCCACTTCCCCAGAACTTCAAGGCACTTCACCCATTTCCAGTCTCCCCTCTGAAGAATTCCACAGACCACTTGTTCTCATTTCAGATGTCCGTGGGTTCTAGACTTCTTTTGTCTCTGTCTTTGACTTTTGGATGGTACCCCAGTATAACCCCTTCCCACTTAGTGAGAATTTCCCTCTAAAAATATCTCAGAGTCTAATTGTTGTGAGTGTACAATGTTACAAGCACGAGTGGACGTGAGTGTTTTTCCTCTATGTCAGAAGTAACTGTGCAATAAGAAATCCAAAAACTGCATTGGTTCCATTGGCTGCAGTTTGCCAAGCAGTACTGAGTTCGCTGGATCATTGACTAAGGCGTACAGGTTCCTTCTTTCCAAACATTTAAAAGTATCAACTCAATAAAAAAATTCCTTATCAAAAAAAAAAAAGTATCAACTCTTAGATCACTCACTACACAGCTCTCACTAAAGCTGTCCTCTCTCCATCTCCCTGTATTTGTGGATATACATAGGTTACAGAAAGGCCACAAAAGGTTAAAACCATTGCCGCATTCTTTGTGAACTTAGGAGTGAGTTATTTCTCAGCCTGTGCCTCCTGAGTAGTGACAGACACATGGTGGTGTTTACATGCCCACAAAGGAGCATAACCACACCTCTGTGTTTGATGCTGCTTTAGAATGGAGTCTCCCAGGGCAAGGCACAACCTCACCTCAGCCCTTGTATCAGACAAACAGGCCGCAGGAATACAGCTGTGAATCAAAACAATGACCCCCTATATCGGCACTCTCTGGAGTGGGGGGGGGGGAGCCCCCAAAAAACACTCCCAGCTGGTGGCAGTGGCAAAGTTCCTGTTCTAGAAAGCACAGAGCACTAGCTGCCTCAGACAGGAGTTGGCTGTCAGCGTCTGTCTGCAGCATGTGGCTGAGCTAATGTGTCTGAACCCTCTGTAAAATAACCGTTTTGTGATTTGGACCCGAATGCTTGCCGGCTCTATGGATTTTTACATTTTAACTTCAAAGAAGTATTGAAATCAAGAAGTCTATTCCTTTTTCAAAATAGCCCAAGAGTATCATTTCCACGGTCTCGGCTACTAGTTTTTTCCAGTTGCTAGGAAAGAGAAAGTCCCCACTCCTCAGCTCCCTGCCTGGAGGCCTGAACCGGGAGGTCAAGAGCACAGGCAGCAGCTTCATTGCTTGGGGCAAGCCTCCAGCCACACCCACCCGGTGGAGCCTGCTGGTCTCCAGAAGTCATTATACACTTAGCATCCTCATTAATTTTCTCCCCCTGAAGTGCCTCTGATGAATGTGAGGGTTGTGGGCTGAAACCATCTTGGCTTTTCCTGATAAAAGGTTCTGTGTTCAATTTTCTAAAAGTGTCCTTAGAGATCGCCTGGTTTCCTGCCTCTTCCTAAGAAAGAGCCGCGCTTACGAGGTCTTCAGAGAGGAAGAATTCAGTCCTTTTGGAATGGATGCTTCCTGGAGTTTGGAAGGAGAGGCTCTGGGGACACTTTAGAGACTTGGAACTTTGGGGAGGCTGGCCACGTAGATGGAGCCATCGTTATTTATTACAGACTTTAAAGCTCTATAAGCCAACGTCTGCTTGGCTTCTGCCTTGGCCTTCATCCTGACTCTCACACAGGCTCTTATGTGTACTGCTGAGCCCAAACCACAATGCCCTTTTAGCTTTCAGTGATGGCATCTACATGACCCAGGGTCCTCTGGGCTCCGACCTCAGCAACCACACTGATAGAGGCATCAGCTAGCTTAGACGTCCTGGGCATGAGCCTGGGGCTTTACAGCTAGGGTCCACTGGGGAGGGCTGGGGTGACTGTGAGTCAGTCACAAGGCTTTGCAGCAGTGGCTTGTATTAAGTCACAGGGACTGTGGAACATTTGTGGCAGCTTTAACTGTCCTTCTGTCAGGAGTTGGAGAGGTTGTGAATGTGTCCAGGGTGTTGAAACAATGAGTATCCCTATGAGCCAAGAATTCAAATACACGACACTGTGTATTCCTATTCACAGTGCCTTTAAGAGAATGAAGAGCTTTCTATTCTCTATCATAGTCTACTATAAAACACTGAAGCCTGCAGTCCTGATGGGCAGCCCCCCGGAGCCGCACTGTGATGTCTCTGATCTGCCCAGCCTCCTCAACAGAGAGAAATGTGCTTCTGTTGTTTATAAGTAGCTCTGTGCCTGGCATTTTGTTATAGCAGCCTGAATAGATTAAGATGGGGATCCAGGACATTTATCCACTGATATCTGAGGATTGCTGGTTGAATAGATCCTGCAGACAGAATCCCTTATACCACCTTCCTAAAATCAAAATGTCTCC